TTTGCAATTTATGTTGCGCCTCCAAATTGTGTCCAAATGGCACCAGCGTCGATTAACATGTCATCCTCGTAATTTGGCGACAATTTGGAGGCTCCAACATGGATTGCAAAAATTTGTCACCACGGCGGATCGAACTTTGGACCATTTCTTCACCACTGTTTTGACATTCCTGGAAGCGTTCAGGAAAAATGGACCATGGTTCTGTGTTCCTCGCATGAGCCTCTACAACATGCAAAAACCATTTCGGAAAAGCGCTCCATGTCCTGAAAGACCTTCCTTGTTAGGTCTTACGCCTTACTCCCCTTTACCGTTTTCTCGTCTGCACCTGCTTCGTTCGTCTACTATATAAACTTCAACTGCGCTGTACACTCGTCTGTCATTTTACATCGTGGCAACGTCGAACCACCACCTACTTGGAACTAGTTTACTCGCAATCAGTTCGTTACCAAAAAGCCTCTCAAATGTTCTGAGTAGGTTGACTCCGCTAGAAATCTTTAATTATTATTGCGACCAGTAACCGTTAGTGACCCCATTTCAACCCCGTTCTCCATGGATGCTCTTGCCACCATTGAGGGATATTTTTAAACTACCATTGCACAGCTAATTCAGCAAATGAAACGAAGTTTGAATTGGCTATGCAATTAGCTGAATTGGCTATGCAGTGATAGTTTGAAAGTCTAAGTTTTTTGGAGAAAACGTCAAACAATGGCTGCAAAACAAAACTGACAACACCCCTTATTACTATAACGAAGTACGCCTTCCAAATGATCATGTCGGAGCAAAGTTGCTGAAGACCATATAGGAAGAAGGCTCGTATTTCCTGTTTTTGACGGTTTCTTTCCCTTGTTTTCGACTTCCAGTCCACTTCGCGTCCCTCTTTCATATCAAAGTGGAGCACATCAATTTCATCCTGGTCCTCGCCTTTAACACACTGACCACCGTGCTTGTTTTCGCTGTTTAGAGCGCCGGAACCACGCGTATTTTCTAGCACGTGACAGAAAATCGTGCCGTCATGTGAAAGGACATCGTGTACGAGAGCACTTTTTTGGGAGCTTTTCATTTGTTATGTTTATCGTGTGGCAGGTGAAAGATTTCGCAATTTTGATCAGATCAACTCCCGGTCCATTTACTGTAAGGCTAAATGCCTAAATCATTTTAATGGTTGCGAGCTCGGAGCTATAGAAACGCTACTAGATTGCTCTCGAATCTGCATATCCAACATCACTCACGAATTCGAAAAAATACTTGTGGCAAAGGCAGGTGCTCACAAAAGGTGCCGACTGCTCTAGAGAACCTTATTTGTTCCCAATTTAAGTAAAGCTCAAAAAAACTAACATTAAAGGATAAAAGGATAAAGCATTTGCCGTTGATCAATCCCTTTTTGGGATGCGGCACGCATTCTACTTCCATTTGTACATTCGTAGTGGCGTTTGAATGCGATGTGGCCTATACAATGACTTGCGGGGGCCAGCCGATGTACAAGTCAGTGTTTTTTATCCTCCCAGACAAGTCTGGTACCAATTAACCGACCCCGGAGGGATGGAAGGCTTGGTTGGCCCGGGCGACTCACGACCCAGGATTTGATCCCCGGACCGCTCGCGTGGTAAGCGCGCCACTTGTCACTACACCACTTCCGCCCCTAATCATTACTCTTCATTTTTTTCTAAACTTAATTCAGCAACCAAAATTTACTAGGGCTGCGCTCTTTGAGAAAATTTTCTGAGCACGGCGTGCACATCACATGAAGAAGTTCACAAAAAATTAAACTTAGAAAGAAAATGGAGTCACGAGACCGTGACACAGCACCGTGTCACACGGTCCCCGCAGGCGAAAATGTGTGGCAGTACATCGTGCTACACGGTTGTCGACGTGTCAAAGGCAGTGACTACGATAGACTCTGAATGTACATAGAGTAGATTGGGTTGGTAAATGGTAAGCCAGTAGCGAAAAAAAACAGAGAAAACAGGCAAGGAAGTCGCTTGAAAGCTGGAAACAATGTGGTTCGTCCAAGTTGGGGCGAATCAACCACTCTGTAGTTTTACAGATAATGTCCCCATGTTTTTCATTTTCGTTATGTCATCTAAGAAACGCCCTTGTTATCCCTCGGTTGTCGACTATGGACGAGCCAGCAACCAAGAAAGAGGTAGTCTGGCCGTCAACCCCGATAGTCGGCATCATTCCAACATACATCATGCTTTGACTGATTATGCATTACCAACACAAAATAGAAAATATGACAGCTCAGTGTGAAGTACTTTTTGGAAATAGCAGTTCAATGATGTTGTCGCGAGCTGAGTGGTTTCGGGGATCCACGATGCTCAGAATCAGGGTCTATCTGGAATACGTCATGAACACCCGGTTTCTGAGCTCCAAAGAAGGTAAATTCGCGAAAAAATTAGTCAATCAAGACGTCAACAAAATCGTACAACCTCGTTTGCTGATGATCTCATAAAATTGCTCTACGACCATGAAGGACTCACCGAAAGAAGAATATTACAAATAACGTTAAAGGAATCTTGCGCGGAAAAATCATGATTCTATTTCAGCCATAAATCACTGGCTTGAGACTCATTATCCACGATAATAGTGAAAAGAACTGAAGTATTGCTTTCGTTTTGATTAGAAATTCGAAAACTCGAAAAGGCTGCTACGCCCACGGACGTCTTTCACGAATACTGGCG